GAAGGACTGGCTTTAGGTGCACTGGCAATCAAACGTCTGTGTGGAACACTACATGTTGGTACAAAGGTGTACTGTGATCGATTCCTCACCACCATACCAGCTGTAGATTTCATGCTGGAGAAGCAGGTGTACCTTACTGGTACAGTGATGAAGAACCAGGTCTCCAAGGCAATGGAGAAGCTACCGAGTGACAAAACCCTGAAACAGCAAGGTAGAGGGGCCTCAGCGACAGTCACCCGAGCAGATGGGAAACTGTGTAGTCAAATGGTACGACAACAAGCCAGTTGTGAGGCTTTCTGCCATTCATGCCGAACAACCCGAAGACACCTGCCAGCGATGGTCCAAGAAAGACAAAAGATATGTGACCGTCACTCGTCCAAGTATTGTGCAAAAGTACAACGCTAAAATGGGTGGGGTAGACTTGTCAGACAGGATGATGAGCTACTAGCGAATGGGTGACCAAACCAAAAAATGGACCATTCGCATGTTGATGCACTTCACTGATCTTGCCCTAGCGAACAGCTGGTTGCTGTATCGCCATGATGAGCAAGAAAACGGCACCCCAAGAAAGGCTACCATGAAGTTTCTTGAGTTTCGTATGGTAGTAGCTCAGGTAGTCCTCAGCAAGAATGGTATCCCTCACGAATGTTCTAGTGTTGTAGATGCACACTAAGAGGGTGTACACCAAGTCAAATCAGGCAAAAGGTCTCAGGTCACTCCAGTCCCACATGTCTCAGTCTGCACATGTTCTGCTGTTCATCTCCCTGAGATGGTGGTCTTGAAAAACCCCATGCGTTGCAGAGCACAAGGCTGTTCTGGAAATCTCGCGTACGTTGCATGACGTGCAATGTGTTCCTGTGCTTACAGAGTGAACGCAACTGCTTTGCAGCATTTCACAAAGCTTGACTCTCACAAAGCTTGGAAGGATGGCTTTTCTGTGCAGGTTGGAAAACTGCTTTGGGGAAAAGAGGTTGTCAATGAAAGTAGTCAAGTGTCAGTTCAAGAGGCAGTTTACAAACATTGATGACATTTCATTTTGATAGTTTTGTTTATTTTGATCCAAATGGATGAAGTTCATGTTTATTGCATAAAAAAAGGCTTTATACATTTTTTTTGCACTTTTTGTAAAGCCATGCCATGTTAGGGGCATGAAACTAAAAACTGTTAGTCAAAATAAACTGGTTTATAAATGTTTAACCAACTGTGTCTTTGTGGGTCATACCGTTTGGATAGACCTATTGTCCTCATATATGGACACACATTTTTGAGAAAAGTACTTATCACAAAATGCTGAAATTTGGACACCTTTCAGTCTCAAATAATAAAAAACATTTTAAAATGCAAAGATAAACCACTTGTCCCCATATGGAGATATCATTTTTTCCAAAAACTATTTCCTGTACAAAGACAACGTTTTGTTATTATACTTGTGATGTCCTACTAAACTGAAACAACTAAGAAAAATAAAAAATGCACAAGAAAACAATGGTCGGGTCTCAGGAGGTTAAAGAACAAACTCTGGACAGTGTGAGGTGAGTTTGTCTCACTGCAGAAATAAAAACACACATGGAGCGTCAGCAGTCAGACGCAGCCGCTCACCAACACTCGTGTGTGTGTGTGTGTGTGTGTGTGTGTGTGTGTGTGAGTGTGTGTGTGCGTGTGTGTGAGAGTGTGTGTGTGTGCGTGTGTGTGTGTGTGTGTGAGTGTGTGTGAGAGTGTGTGTGCGAGCGTCAGAAGGCTGAACAATAACCTGTAGAATAATTAGTCATCATGCTAAAGCAGCTTCTCTGTGGTGGACCACACCAGCTTCTGCCACAATAATAATAATAATAATAATAATAATAATAATAAATCACACACAAAGTTGTGAACATTTAATTTCCTTTCTGAACTATTTCTGTTGAGTTTTAATGTTTAAATCTGTTAGATTGTTACCGACAGCAGCTACGTTTAAGTTTCACTTCCTGTTGTGACTGAGCGCTGCTGCAGCATGGAGGTGTAGTTCTCAGTCATCCTGGACATGATCATCCTGAGAGTTTTAGCTGGAAACAGCTGGACGTTTCTGGATATGTTGGAGACATTTAGCCTCTCATCCCAGAGGCTGCTTCCACACTTTGGGACATGTAGTACTGCACTGACAACATCACCTAGCAACTCTACAGCAAACAGCTGTGGCTGATGCTAAATTGATGTGGAGCAGAGTTTTAACCTGAAGATGGGGATGGAATTACGATTTTGGGCTGAAATATTATATTTTAAGTAAGTTGCACTAAACTGCCAAAATGATTATTACACATGTCTACACTCGTCTATACAGGTTATGTCAGCAACAAAAGGTTAATTTAGGCGCTGCTCACTCTTTAAGTACCTTTATCTGCTCTTGACTCTAAGGAAAGCCCAGGTCTAAATAGTCCAGAGTTTGTTCCAAAGCTGTTTCAAATGAGCCGTCACCACCTTAGTTTTGCTCAGTCGCAGTAACATCCTTCCCACCTGAACAGGTAGGGGAGCTGTGATTGGACAGCTACAGATTTTAGCCAACCGAGCAGTCCGCCGTACACCGTAGAGGAAGATGCAACACACCCTCTTTCTAAATAAAGAAGGTAAGTGCCTCTTTTTGCTAGTGGCTCAAAGAAAAGCTCAAGTTTAAAAAGTACAAAGTTGATGCCAAAGCCATTTCAAATTACCTGCCACCATCTTTGCTTTGCTCACTCCCAGTAACATCCCACCCACGAAACTGATAGAGCGCTGTGATTGGCCCACCAAACAGATGTCCAGCACACAGCCACTAGACTGACCAGGGCTGCAGAGGTTCAAATGGAACGCGGCTAGACCAGCACGCAGAGCAAAATCACTCTGGTCTGGATTAGAGGTGGGAAAAATGATCGATTCTAAGATGCATCGCGATTCAGCCGTGCACGATTCCGCATCGATGCAGCAACGTGACATAATGAGATTCTCTCCCTATGTCTATGTCGGGGGTCGGCAACTGCGGCTCTGGAGCCGCATGCGGCTCTTCCATCCATCTGATGCAGCTCTCTGTGCTTATAAAATAATGAATGGATATTTAAATAAAATGCTTTATATTTTACTGCATTAATTTTACATCTGTATGCCAATTCTATGTAAAGATTGTCTGCGTAAACCTGAACAGCTCCAACCCGGTCTTACTGTGAAACCGGGTAGACGCGTCACGCTTGTGCGTAATCATAAAGGCGCATTCTGAGCTGACGAGGATGTGAGATTCTGGGATTCTCCTCAGCTCCTGGATGTGTCGCCACATTGGAGACAGGAACAAGCACTATTCAGCCAAAGTTTCATAATCAGGGAACATTTTCTAAGTGACAAGTCTCGCTTCAATCGGAGGAATCTTCCTGCGCTTTGGTTCTGCGACGTGCTCCAAGCCAATCTCCACAACTTCAGCTCGCTGTGCGCCGTACGTACGCACTGACAGCGAGCTGCGCTGAGCTCAGTGTCCAGCTCATATGGGAATCATTTCTTAAGTGATTTAGCTACATCTGCGCGAAACGAATAAAGTGCCAGTTCATCTGCATGCGTCGGGGTAATTCTTTCTATTCTTTCTCCGTCAAAATAAACGGTCAAACATGGGAACTATCCGGTCAACACAAGCCCTGCTTTTAACTGTTCTGTTTTCTTGTGAAAATTGTTGCAAAGAGATAAAATTTAACTTGATTAACACCAGAGCCAGGCGCACTGCACCGTTATCTCCGTCGCTGTAAATGAGGGAAAAACAAAATGATCGGATCCTTTTCTGACCTTCCCCACCTACAAAGTTTAATTACAACAATCAAACGTGACAGAGCCTGGATTTGTATTCTGAACAGTCTAAACATGTTTTAAAAAGAAACGTATGACAAAAGTGGCACCTGCTCAGTAAAACCACCAACAGGGTGAAAAATATCAAAATATTGTAGGCAGAGACGAGCTACAACTTCTGGATCCACTTTATATAAATCGTTTTATTGATTATCTTCTTATGACAGATAACTTTGACGTACACGAGCGACCGGTACCGGCTGCTGTCTGAGGGTAGGCCCCGCCCACAACGCCGCGGCTGCTGCGGTGTTTTCTTTACTGTGGGAAACGGGTAATAATGGCTCTTTGATGGGAACAGGTTGCCGACCCCCGGTCTATGTCTATGCAGGACAATAAAGTTCTGAGGTTTTATAATTACTTCCGGGGGCAGAGTTGCAATGACATGCGCACTGCGTTGCCCTAGCGCCAATTTAAAACAGAAAAGGCGGACAGGGATACAGGGCCAACATTACCAGTAATCAAAGATGTACCCGTTACATTTAAATCGGATGTCTGGGCTAATTTCGGTTTTGGGATCCTGGATGTGAAAGAATCACTTAACACAGTATTTGTTTACTATTTTTAAGTTCAGTAATATTCTATCTTAAAGCTGCTCTACCGAAAACATTATTTCTTATATTATTTAAGTAATTATAGGCAGCACACTTTAAACATTATTGCTCACTATAGTGAATAGATGAATGTTCTGTTTTTCAGGGATTTCTAAATAAAAAAAAATTGAAAACTATTCTACTGCTTTTATTAAGTAATGAAAATTTTTGTGTGAAGAATCGTGATGCATTTCAGACTCAAATCGAATCGTTAGGCAGATAATCGGAATCGGATCGAATCGTGAGGAAGGTAGAGATGCACACCACTAGTCTGGATTCCCAGGACACCTGTCCCTGTCTTCTGTTAATAAATGGATCAGGTACCCGGCCAGCCTGCTGTCCTGCCTCCTCTGTGACCTACTCACTTGCATTTGGGCCCAACCCCACCACCACATCATGACATCTTCATTCTGATGGAACAACAACATCTGGTGATAACTGTAAATGTCTGCTCTGAGTTTTGTAATTAAATTCAGTCTGAAAATTTGAAAATGTCATCTGGCCCCTTTCTTGTGATGTTTATCGTTGACAATAGACATGCCCTCTTCAGGTGGAAGGTGTGTGAGCTGTACTCACCTGAGCAGTAATAACAGGCCTATGATGGTGAGACAGATGGACGACAGCACCACTGCCACCACAGCCAGAGCTGTTGTTCTGTTGTAGTCTCCTGGGGACTGCACTGGAAGTGTAAAGAACTGGCACCTGTCCCCAGAATAATCTAGGTGGCACCTGTAAAGCCATCCAAGGGTGGATTAGTACACTTTCATACAATGCTGATGGAGTTTAGACACTTGGATACTTACACACAGGATGGCGAGCGGATGTTGCTGAGGTACTGGCAGGTACCGTGAATGCAGTAATTCTTGTATTTTTTCAGGCAGGGATTCCTCTTCCTTCCCAGGCCTTTCCCCTTCTTCTTCCCCTTTCCTCTCTTTCTATGTAACTCTGTGTTTTCAGCCTCAAAGACGGAAGATTTGTCTTGGGGTTTGACCGACATCGCAACTGTTCCAAAAAAAGGTTTCAAAAAGCCGAACAACAATCAGTTACCCTCCAAAGTCTTTGGTTAAGAGTATGCTAAGATAAGCAGGAAGCTGCCTTACCTCGTGGCTCATGCATGTAATCTCCAGACATTTCATCATCAGACTCATAGCCGTCATAGTATTCGTCCTCGTCTTCCTTGGCATCTTGATTGTTCTTTACTGTTGTGCTTGTGTGCTCCAGCTCCTCTGTCCTCATCTGGTTTCTAGTCGTGTCCAGCAGTTTGAAAACGGATGTGTGTCGCTGCCGGTCATTCACACGCCTGTCGACCGCAGCACCACTGACTAATCTGGACACCACTGGAGGAGAGAAAGGAGCCATTTTACAATCAAAACTATTTCATTTAGGCTGAAATCATAATTCAGGCTAGACAGCCCACCGTGGGCGAAGCTCAGTTGGAACATGTTACACACACAAGCAAGCTACCGGTGGAACTGGGTATGGCACTGTCAAATGAATAATCAGAGCCTTGCTCATGGGCACCCAAAAAAACCCGGCTACTGACAAGTTTAGATGTGTGGGGTTTGGACAGGAAATGAAGCAAGAAGTGGTTGCCAAACACTTTTTATGTCTCATACGCATTCCCAAAATGCATAGACAGACTCTTAGCTAATGTCAGGCAAGAATATGAGTTAAAAATAAATGTATCCAGTTACATAAAGCATGCTCCAAAATAGAGAGATGATGAACTCGTTACCGTCTGGATAGCCTGGACAAGAGCTGCTTCAAAGACTACATTTTTTATGTTATTTGCTCGTGCTTAAAGCCGTGCTTCCCAACTTTTTTTTTACAAGGACCCCCTTTTCTGTGTCCATTAAGAGCCAGGGCCCCTTAACCCTGACTCCTACAAGTATGCATACAATTAGAAGCGAATAATTACAACCTTATACAGAGAAATGGCTCTTACACAGAGCTTTGATTGTGCTATTGGATGTGTTATCTGGATTTTATAAATGTCACTTCTACTAATATAACCTTGGTAATCTCACTAGCTCAGCATACACAACACTGTGGGGACCTTCTTGGGAGGCACAAATCCCAGGTGGGGAACTACTGGTTTAAAGAGGTGTGTGAAAAGGTGAGACGATGTCACAGACACAAAACGAAATCATTAAACACAAACACACGTTGTGAATACTCACCCAAGGCTTGAACAAGCAGGAACGCAACGACTAAAATCCTCATCGTGTCCAAACTTCCAGTAATAAATAACAGACTTACGTTCAGAAAAATCACAAACAAGATGTATTCCGCCCACTGCTAAAGTTCCCTTTTCATCTATTTAAAAAAAGTTTTTACTAAATCTTTTCAGCCACTTTAAGTGCGCGTGCTCGTGAGTTGTTGGGAGTGAGAGGGGCTGCTGTGTCTGCCGTCCCGGCCTGTGTAGAGGAGCAGGAAGGAGCCCAGGAGGAGTTATATGCCTCCTACAGAGCCCGCCTCCTTCTGAAGCCCAAACTGCACCGCCACATTTTGACCGCCCTTCATAAAGAGAAGGAAGGAGAACAGCAAAAATAATTAAATAAACAAAAAACACATAATAAAGTGCAGGTGTGTATCTGTTCTGTTTGTTTTAATAGGCCTTGACGTTAATTTATCACTCTGCTGTTTCAGTATTTTCCAATGTATTCATATTAATCAGATATATAACAGGAGAATCAGTGCACAGCACATGTATAGTTGTCTTCTCATTTGTGCCCCTGTGCTCTTTTTGTTTTAGTAGTAGTGGTTTTAATAATCTTAGTTGTTTTTCAGCAAATGTTTTTATGTGTGTAGTGCTCAGCGCTTTGGCTATCCTTGGCATTGTTAAAAGTGCTGCACAAATAAAGATGATGATGATGATGATGATGATGATGATGATGATGATGATGATGAATTGTATGTCACTGATAAAATTATAGGACAAAACAATCATCAGGTAGCAAGTTCAAAACTGCTGTCTGCCTGCGCCACCATCTGGGTAAATTGTGAACTACACCGTCTGGACTCGGACTACGTTGAAAGATCTTTTCATTAACAGTTGTAAAACCGGTAATGTTGTGACATCAGTTCAAACTCAAACACAAAAACAAATTCACATAGAAAAACAAAAGAAACAACCAGAAATAATTATCCACAGGAACACCGCCAAAGTAAAAGATAAATGAGCGTCCGACAAGAACCCCCCAAACTGTGTCTGATCCTCTCCAGATGAATATGAGATGTAGCCTCAGCAGAATAGTCGCCTGTGTTTGCAGTTGAGGATCCTTTTACCTGGGCAACATAAGTCTTTTAGTCAGCAAACAGCAAAAGGTGATCAAACTTAGCTGGTATGTGTCCAGCAGAACATCCACCATGACCACTCCAAACAGAGTGCTCACAAACTCCAAATGCACCTCTTATGAAACAACAATATATTGGAATACATTGAAAAATATACAGTAACATACACGTAAAACAATCTATTCCAATATTTAGTGTAATGTAGCAGAAGGCCATGTCGGCAACCTGCTCTACCGGTGGGCAGAGGTCACCACACCTGAAGTATCCAGCCCGTTTCTTCTGCTGGGAATATTGTGCTCTTCTTCTTACCAAAACAGTTGTCTGTTTTCGCCCTTACCATGGATACGCCATCAAAACTATCTCATGTTGACAGGGAGCTGCACTCACAAGGTCACAAGACGTGGACGTGACAGTGTGACTCTTTATACTTTACTAAAATAATCTCATTTAGTCTCATAAATAATTTCTGTATTTCACCGGTTGATTACAATAATGTTCTGTGTTATCTACAATGAATGTTTTATCTAAAGTCATTTAACAGTGTCTTGACTGCTTTACAGTAATGAATGAAACAACATTACTGTTAATTCTAGAAATACCTTATTTCATAACTTAAATACACCAAATGAGTCTACTTGATAATTTAATAATGATTTACTATCAGTTATGTCACATTCCATGCTTTCGTTCTTTTTAAACACAGAAACAGTTTTGTTTACCTGTTTTGTAGCTACAGTTTCGCCGACGGCTGCCGGCTTCTTCAGGCTGACGCTGATGGTGGCGCGTCACTTCCTTCTCCGTTTATCTGCGGGCAGCAGAGGACGTTGTCGCCCTCTACTGCCCGCTCTCCCCTCTCCGACGATGCAGTCCCAATGCGTGGTCCAGCGTGTAAACTCTGTCGTCCCTGTTCATGGTTCCACATCCACGTCTCCTTATCTCGATTGCTTCCTTGATCCATCTTTTGCATTTTTGTTGTTCAGTGGTTATGATCCGTGTGTTGTCCCAGTCCATTATGTGGTTTTCTCTTATGCAATGATCTGTTACGGCTGACTTCTTTATTGTACTTTCTGAGAGGGGAGAGCGGGCAGTAGAGGGCGACAACGTCCTCTGCTGCCCGCAGATAAACAGAGAAGGAAGTGACGCGCCACCAACAGCGTCAGCCTGAAGAAGCCGGCAGCCGTCGGCGAAACTGTAGCTACAAAACAGGTAAACAAAACTGTTTCTGTGTTTAAAAAGAACGAAAGCATGGAATTAGAACTACGACACAGCAAGAACACACCTAAGATGTTCAAAGAGAAATACGGACAACAAGGAACGAAGGACTTCCGCCATTTGGAGCGATTACACCAGAAACGCGCACGTCTAAGAAACTACCTTCGCTTCTGTTTAAGATGCCGGGACGAAAACATCACACCCACAAGCTTACAGCTGAAAACACAGATCCGGACCAAGACAGCACAAAATATAATAGAAAGAGCACAGAGAGCACTGCTCAAGGAGAGGATAAGGAACGTCATAACCAAACAGAGGCGCGTGGAGGACGAACTGGAAAGAGGACACCTGGACTTAAAAAGGAATTACAAACTTGATAAACAAATGGAGGAACTAACTAAAGGACACATGATGGAAAAACAGGAAAAAGTTCACAAAAGTAAAAGAAAGACACATAGAGGAGCTAAACAAACTCATAAACAAGAAAAAGAGGGGAGAAATACAAGGCAACTCCACACCAAACTCATGGGTATGTAACATTTCACAATACAAACTAACAGAAGCAGAAGAAAGCATATTAAAAAAGGGTTTAAACTTTGCAGTCACACCAAAAGAAATACCACATGATGAATTTTTGTAGCAACAGAACTAGCATGTCAACAGATCACAGATGAGGGAAAGAAAGCAGAACTCAGAAATAACGTATTTGGGATATTAAAAAACAGCCAAATTCAACACAGCAATATTACAAAAGAAGAACAATCAGCCATGACAGCTTTATCCAAAAATGAACAGATAATTATTCTACCGGCAGACAAAGGAAGAACCACAGTGGTAATGGACAGAGAAAAATATAAACATCAGATGAACCAGATGCTAGAGGACAAAAATACATATGAAATACTTAAAAAAGATCCAACAGAAAACATTAAGAAAAAAATGAAAAAATTACTGAAGCCACTGCACGAAAAAGGCAAAATAACAGAAAAAATGTATAAACACTGGATTCCCACGGCGAACATAACACCAAGAATATATGAAACGCCAAAAATACATAAACAAAATACCCCACTTAGACCAATAGTAGACAGCATAGGTACACCAACATACAACATGGCAAAAGATATCAGCAGAATCATCCGCCCGTTCTTAGGTAACAGATCAACACTGCAAAAATAGCATAGAACTGGCAAAAGAACTAAAGGAGATTACAATAGAAGATAACAACATACTCATCTCACATGACGTCACATCCCTGTTCACAAAAACACCAACCCAAAAAACCATAGACATAGTAGTTAACAGAATCAGACAGGACAAGACTTGACACAAAAGAATAAACCTCACAGCAGATGACATAGCACAACTGATAGCACTGGTAGCTAACTCCACTTACTTCACATACGACAACACAATATACAAACAACTGGAAGGCTTCGCCATGGGTAACCCGTTATCAGCCACCCTGTGCCAGTTTTTCATGGAAGACCTAGAGCAGAAAGCCATCGCCACTGCCCCCCCCAAACTGCAAAATAAAACTATGGAAACGCTACGTAGATGACATACTGGAAATCATACCAAAAGGTCAAACAGAAACACTAACACAACACTTAAATAACATTGACGACACAGGCAGCATAAAGTTCACATATGAGTCAGAAACAGATGGCAGCATAGCTTTTATGGATATGAAAATCACCAGGCAGACCGACGGGACCCTAAACATAAACACATACAGGAAACCAACACACACAGACCAATATCTATTATGGACATCAGAACACCCTACCATACACAAAATGTCAGTAAGCTATGGCGTCAGAGGCGTGCCACAACCCGTGCACGCGGATTGGGTCCACATCGCGCGTGTGAACGGGACTCGCGAGTTAAAATATACATGGCGAGAGGTCATTTGTGCACTGAGAGGAAGCAAACTGTGTCTGTGAGCGCACAAGGACGTGCACAAGTGACAAACCTGCGTGCGCGCGTTGCCAACGAGCACACGGCAGAGGAAAACGTGCGCGCGCGGCAGCCTCTCTGCGCGCTCGGCAGCCTCTCTGCTCGCTCGGTTTCTGACTCTGCTCGCTCGGCTGTGAAGGGGTTCTGGCACTCTGGAGGCGTGGCCTGTGGCAGATCTTCTCTGTCCTCTGATTGGTTAGTTTACCCCACACTTTACCCTCTACCTATCTATATAAAAACATCTGATATTCAGTAGTTGTTGTCATAGCTCAGCTGGGAGAGCGGGTGACTCTCCCCCTGGAGGATCCAGGTTTGAGTCCGGGCAAGGAACATAGAATAGATGTCATGTTATTTTTTCCTAATTCCTGTGATATTATTTTACAGTTGTGACCGTTCAACTGTCATTAAACGTCCGAATGTTTGCTGGGCAGTGTTTTAAAAAGTGCACATAAGCTAGATGGTTTTAACCATATGAAATTATATTTTTTGTGATACTGGAAAAATACATACTGAAATAAAACTACTGATTGAAAACTTTATGACTGTGGTTGTACAATATATGACTCACTAATACACTGCAAACGCCCTTAGAGTGGGGCTTCCAGAGAGAGAGAGAGAGAATTTGTATTCTGTCAAAGTTGTAATATTACTTCAGCCACTCTTGAGAGGAGACTCCAGGTAAAAATAGACTTGTGGTGTAGGTATGTTCAAGTTTAAAAAGTTCTTGCCTCATTAATGTATTGTTTATTTTTTTCAGCATTTAATTGACAAATTATCCTTTCAAATAATTAATTGATGAGTTACATAATTGTGCAGTTAGAATTGTTGAATGGACTGAGTCAAGTTTGGTGCACTTTATATATTTCAAAACATGTTTTTTTATATTAATGATGCATATAAATAATTTAAATGTTAATTTAATGAAATATTTCTATTTTTTCATTACCTCACCCTTGTTTTGACAAAAATGGGACCTTGCTGGATAATATCATGGAGAAACTATTTGTTCACAGTTCTTGGCTCAGTGAGGATCTGTATACCAAAGGAGGAGATACTCAGAAATCTGTCTGCAGATTGTTACAACCCAGACTGGAAGTGGTGGGCTGTAATAAGAAAGGAGACCAAACAGAGGAGTGGGGGATCAACAACTGATTTATTTAACCAAAGTAAGGATTTACTAAAGCAAGTTAGTGAACAGAAAATGTCTGGGGACTCTTTCATAACGCCCATAACACTTTCTGGCTTCTGATTTGTCTAAAACGTACAAACAACGAACCCTAAAAGAAGAATATTACCCAGTTCTAGCCAAAGCTTCCAGTTTACGCCAAATTACCATCCTACGGGGAATCAAACCAGATTTGATTCTGAATTTGTTATATTTTAGTGGCATGTGAACCATCCATTTTGAATCAACCAGTTATTATTTGCTCAATCTACAAACAACTGATCAGCTGTGAAACAGTCCACCTGCAGCCCGGGAGACGACCTCTGACCAGCTGATGTGGATTCAGGGGAATACGGCCCCCAACATCCAGAAGTTAAATGTTTGCTTTACCAAGGAGACTTCAGCCAGCATAATCACCGAGAAGCCTCCATACACACGGGTACCATACATTTGCACTGGCGTTGGATGGGTTAAGATTAATTTGATAACTTGTTAAACCTCATTAAACATTCAGCCAGATTTATTTTATAAACTCAGACATCACATCTTTCTGAGCCACTTAACTAAGCTCTAAAAACATACAAGGCCATGTTTCATCAGAGTTCATTCATTTAATTAGCTGATATTACCTTAAATCACCATTTATAACAATTTGTCCTGCATCATCATTAGTAGAAATATACTAATAAATTGATTTTATAAACTATAATTTTGCCTCCGTGTCAAATTATTATAAAGTGTTGTTTCCCTGGCACTACATAAATTACCTAGTTTCATCATCAATCGAATATTAAATGTTCAATAATATTGATAATCCATATTTTTATGGAATATTACATTTTATTGAATACCTTTATATTTTATTGACAATTTATTGAAAGTAACCACTTACAAAATGTTACATAATGGCGAGCGAGCCAGGAGGGAAATTAAAATCAACACTTTATTAATAATTTGAAGTTTTAAAATCACTTTGCTGAGTTTGAAACAAAGGAGCCTCCCTTCAATCCTCTTCACGAGTGCTGTCTCATCAAATTCAACCCGTCTAAAGCTTGTTAAAGCTATAATATTGGCGTGGTTCTAAAAAGAAGTTGATGCTTGTGTATTTTTATTTTTGTTTGTCCTTGTTTGTTCATGCCTGTGTTAACTTGAGCTGAGGACGTTTGGAAACCAATGTTAAACAAAGCTACTTTAACCAGATCTGTTCAATCTGCAATTTAATTCTGGCCGAAGCAATCCCTTTTCACGGTTTG